ACCTACACTCACCTTTACTGGCTCCATCCCCGCCTCTTCGACCTGTTTGTTTCCTCTCCACCTATCCTCTCCTCTATCCCTCTTCTATCCGCCTCTCACTTTCTCCCTATTTATTTCAGAACCCCCTTCCCCTCCCTCTTTTCTGATGAAGAGTCTAGGCCCGAAACGTCAGCCTCTCTGCTCCTATGATGCTGCTTGGCCTGCTGTGTTCATCCAGCCCTGCACCTTGTTGTCTCAAAGTACAATGCGTTGTGTGAAAACTTGGCTTCATCCACACAATGCATCCACCATATCAAGACTATTAAGGATTTTATATGTTTCAATCAAGTGACTGCTTACTCCTCTAAACTCCAGTCGATATAAGCCTGGTCTGTTCAACCTTTCTCAACTTAGCCATTCCAGGCACTATTCTGAAAAAGCTCCTCTGAACTGCTTCCAGTGCATTTACATCCTTCCTGCACTGACCGCTGCCAAGAATGAAGCCACCTGTTTGTAGTGTTCTTAAAAGCAATTCAGCTCCATCTTGTTACAATAAATGAAACATTCCAGAATGCAGTAAATGAAAAGTAATCTGTGAACTGCATCAAAGATCAGTTACTTCATATACAAAGTACCTTTCTGAGGAAAGAATCTTTCAGGTTGAAGTTTTACTGTATGGTTTGTCAGCATATGGTTGAATAGGCTCCTGAGAGATATCCTGCCCCTCTCTGCTTTCATGCTTTTCACTGTACCTCACTGTGATAATGTTGACTCAACATTTTTTTGCCTCCATTTAAAAGCGAAAATTTCACTGCACTTCTGTTTTATGTCAATTTGGTTCTATCCTTTTACTGAACTGGATGAGAGCAATTCCTCAAGGCCATGGTTTTATTTGCTTTCTGCTTTTTGGCTGTAGTTCCATCTGTAGTGAATTATAATCCTAGCCCCACTTTTGGGACTATCCTAAATCAGGCGTAATTCTCAGATATTCACTCTCAATTTAAAGTTAAGAAAGCCAGACCCTAAAAACACTGAATCGCTCTAAACCTATGGTCTAACACTCCTCAGAGGAAAGGACAAGCTGAGAATATTTCCTTCCTGCGCATGGTCTTCTGAAAAAGTTTCAGACTGATTATAATGGCCCTGGGATCTCTCATCAATAATGTACTCTCCATCAAAGTACGTGTGGAGAAGGGATTCATGGGTTAGTAATACAGAAGTCTGTGTGAGACAATATAAATTCTCAACGTCGTATATAATTCACAGTTGGTGAGGCAGTCAGTTGTAACATCAATAGTTAATAGAACGTAGAACAGTACAGCACAGTACAGGCCCTTCAGCCCACAATATTGTGCCGAACTTTTATCCTAAACCTAAGGTCTGTCTAACCTCCAGCCCTACCTTATACTATCATCAATTCTAGGAAAAGTTCGAGGAAAAGTTAGAAAATACCCTTTTATCGTCTCGGGTAATGAATCCAATTCTTAAATCCAAGTGTTATGGTCAAATAGTTAAGTCAGACAGCTGTTGTTGACTATTAAAGTAACATTTATCTTAGATGCCCAAACTGGTAGAAGATCATGGAGTTGTTGAGGTGCCTGTGAACTATTTAAGGGAGAATCATCATTGGTCTGCTTTAATACCATTTACCTTGAAAGACTCTTAAGCAAGAAAAGGGAATCTAAACTTACGATGTGTCCTTCCTTTTGATTTCTACAATGGCCAGATGTAATGAGTAAGTCAGGAGGGGTGAACCCACTTTTCTCTTCTGAGCTGGTGACAACTGATTGTGAATTTAAAAGGAATGTGGTTTTCCCAATTAATGCCTAGATACTACATTGTGTATCGCCTGGTGTAAGAAACCTGGATGGCTTATTTCTTAGGTTAACAAGGGCTTGTGTAGTGCAGAAGTAGTATCCCTACCTTTGACCCAGAAGACCAGGGTTCAAGTCCCAACCTGTCCCAACCAGAGCTGTGTAATAATGTTTCTGAACAGGTTGATTAGAAAATAGGTTTTGAAAAAAGTCTTAGATTAACAAGTAAAAGGTTAGTTATATTTTTAAACTTAGTTGAGCGATGATGAAGAAATTAACAAATGCTTTAAAATGTACAGATTTCTCCAATTATCCATGTACGCACGTTCTCGTTCTCACCCTCACCCTCACCCTCACCCTCACCCTCACCCTCACCCTCACCCTCACTCTCACCCTCACACCCATGCTCACACACTCTGTCTCTGTCTCTGTCTCTGTCTCTGTCTCTCTCTCTCTCCCCCTCCCCCAGGCATAGAACAAACACGATGGAATTCCACAGAGCTCCAGATCTTAAAATGCAGCCAAGTAAAATTTAATGTCAGCAATAATAACTTCCATTATCTGGAAGCTATTTACAGCTGATGGATTGTTTAGCACAGTAACTACCTGGTCTTGGGACTTCCTGCTGAACATTTCATGGCTGATTTAATTTCTCCCTTTTCTTTCCCCTGGAGCTGATTCAGAGTTATCCCTTTAAGAACTCTCAGCTTGCAGCAATGAAGTCTTCTGATGGGTTTTCAAATCTCAAACTTTGAGATATTTCTGATGGAGAAAGGACAAAGCTGTTGCTGCTATAATAGTTTGGCTTGGCTGTTTCTTACTTCAAATCCAGTATATTTTTTACACCTCTAAAATGATTCATATACTCCCAGTCTCTAAAAGCTTTATAGACACTGTGCCTCCATCAAACAGCTAATGTTCTTCACATATGCAACATGTTAGTCGCTACGTGCAATGTTCTTTGTTTTGAACAATGTTCTTTTCACAGTCTTGAGGATATATATGTGCCCAGCCAATGCCATGATAAAATCATATTTCACATGCACATTTTCATAACACAGTCAGTGCACCAGTGAACTCCTAGCACTTGTGATGATTAGTTTTCATGATACATCTAACTCGGTTTCAGGATCCAAGAGTTAGTTATAATTCAGTTTGGACTTTGACAGTTTTGTCAAAAATTCAGGGAACTGGTACAAAATGATTTTATCATGTATTATAGAGTTGTAGCTTTTGTGAAAGTTTTGCAAAAACTGTTGTATCGGTGTTTTACTGTGGTAAGCTTCATGACTTTAGGAGTGAGATCATCCTTTCAAGAGTTACTCATTTAATTTTAAGATGTGGTAAGCTTTTCCACTTAGGAACCCATGATCATTTCACCTATTAACCACCAACAGTAAATCACCCTTTTTCTCCAATTGATTAATTTACGTGCAGAGCCTTGTTAAAGGCAGTGCAAAAGATCAAAAGTGAGGGAGAGGGGGAGGGTGCTAAATCAAAATGTAGTTAGAAGGGGAGATAAAGCACTCTCTCCGCTGTGGTGTCCACCTCTCTTAAAAGCATCAAGAGTATTGGTGGACACCTCATGCCCCTTCTCCAAGGACACCCAGTCTTTATCCCAGATTTTGAATCATCTGGGGAACCAAGACCACCGGAATTCACTCACTCGTGAATTGTGACTCCAGTTTGGAACAGTGGCTGCTCTAAGCTGATTCCCGACTCTCTGCGAAGATGGTGTCAGTGTCTACAAGATTGTCTTCAGTGCAACAGGGTCGTACATTCCTTGTACTGTACTTTAGATTGTTTCATACTGTTCCCTTCCTGTTTTCAATGAGCACTGCATGTTTCAGTTCATCTCTGCCACGGCTTTCTCCAGAGCCAAATTTCTTATGTGTCTATTATTTGTGCACCTGGGATCTGAACCTCTTAGTTCTGTGTCTGTCTCAGATTTAACACCCCTGCTTATAACTTTCCAATCTTCTCTTGCCCTCACTTCAGTAGGTCACTTCTCAACTCTCCCCTCTCAGAAACTTTGCCATCACTGATTATTTACTTTCTCCCCCGCCAACTTCACTATATCGAATTTCCCTTGAGTAATTCCAGCATTTTGTTTGGAATTCCCTGTCGGTCTGTCTGTCTGTCTGTCTCTCTCTTCCTGTCCCCTTTTTAACATCTGCCTCCTTGGTCCATCCTTTGGACAGGATTTTTCCTTTTGGTCCCCATGTCTGTTTTTGGTACATCTCTGTCAAATACCTTTACCTTTAAAATAAGAAACAAGACCAATGTACAAATCATACCATTGTTATCACAGTGATGAGAAAAAAATCAGTTGATAAACTAACTGCTTTGTAGTTCATGTTACTCATTTGCACAATAGGTGTTCACTTAGTGCAATAATTCTGGACTTGCTTTAAGGAATTAACAACAACTTCTAACTGTAAAAACATCTTTCACATTTTAAGATGTTGCACGGTGCTTTCTAGAATCTTTATTCACGTTGATACGTATTGGGTGATATTGGAGCAGGTGACCAAAAGCTTGGTCAAAGAATCAAGTTTTAAGAGGAAATCTTAAAGTAGTAGGGAGGAGTAAAGCTTCTTGGAGAAAATTCCAGAATTAGAAGATATTACTTGAAGGTAGGGTCATTAATGGTGGAACTATTAAACTCAGCATGTGCAAGTGACCAGGAATAGCCAAGCATATTGGTTTTGTAAAGTTGTAGGGCTGAAGCAGGTTAGACAGAAGGAGAGATGTAAGGCCATGGAGCGATTTTGAAAACAGAAGTGAGAACTTCATAACTGACCAGTTATCAAACTAGGAGTCAGTAGAGGTCAATGAGTGCAGGAGTGATGGATGAACAGGATTTGGTACGAGTTATGATGCAGGCAGTAGAGTTCTGGATGAGCTCAGGTTCCTAGTGGTTGCACAGTGACAAGCTGAGGACAGTAGAACAGTCAAGTCCAGAGACAACAGTGGTGTTGATAGCACATTAGTTGTAGCAGGAGTGGATCATTTAAGAACGAAATGAACGTGCTCTTTATTTTGCTATAAATGGTCAGCTACAGCATGGACATGAATGAATTTAACTTGAGTGAACACAATGAATGAAATAAACATGTCAGCACAAAATCTTTATCAGTGAATTTCTTTAGGTGCCTCATTGTAGATGTAAGCGTGTGGTTTATAACTTGTGTATTGGACTGTTGTGTCATTTTTGGCATGTTGGAAATTGATTTTAGAAGGATATTCTGTATTTTGCTGTATTACATTAAGACTTTGTGTGGTGTTTTCCATATTCATTTCTGATATTACAGCATTTTTTTAATTGATCATGCCTGGACATACCGAGTGGATCAAGCTCGCCAGCAGTTATGGGAGATTCCTGGCTTACTCCACAGGATGGCCATCCTCACTGGCATCGAATTCCACGGAGAGGTTCCTGATGATGATATAATTGACGAGGTGATGGCAGAGATGTGGAGGTTCAGCCACACATACCAGCTGTCTCAGGGGGTAAGTAAGTTTCGCCAGTGGTGTACAAAAATTATTTGTCTCGTAATTTAAGACCAGTCTGCTAAAGAAGCTGTGCAGTTAACTGATGTCCTGTAGAGAAGATCCTTGAACAATCTAAGTTTTGCTAGTGCATAGTGTCCCTGAATTATGATGCGAGAAACTAATGGAGCAGAATTATCTTAAGTCCCATCTCACTAGTGACATTAAGAATCAAGATTGGTGTCAGGGTAAGCAGTTCAGTTTGTTCACTTTAAAGCTTTTGATGCTTACAAGGTTTTTGGTGTTGAGTTAAAAGGCTGTTTTTTTTGGTGAAAAGAGGACTGTGATGTATCATTTTATCACACTGATAATTCAGGAATAAGACGTTTAGGATTTTAAGTGTTGTAGGTTGATTTGCCATCTTTAGAGTGGAGAAAGTCAGGCTGTTATGTTGCAGTGGTAATATCCCAACCTCTGAGCCAGGAGGCCTGGATTCAAGCCCCACCTGTTCCAGAGCTGTGTCATAGCGTCTCTGAAGAGGTTGTTTAAAAATATCCAGAGCAGACAAAGTGGGGAATTGGTGTCGCAAATGTAGACAAATAGGAGTGCAATTTACTGTAAAAAACCAAAAGAACTGCGCATGCTGTAAAT